CCCAGCAAGACAGACCAGGGCCCGCTTGTCCCCCCCTGCAGATTGTAGGAGAAAACCCCATTTCTCTGGTTGCGGGGTGCAGACCCTGACTCTGCTTTCCCCTGCCTGCCCCTCCTGCCCGTCCCCGTTCCCACCCTGTTATACATGTTCAGCTGTCCCCAGAGCCCCAGAGTGGGTTTGCCCACACACGGGGAGGGAGAAGGGAGCCTGTCCAAAGACCCTCGACTCAGATCGTTTGGTCGTTCGCAGATGAGGAGGCAGATGTGTGCGCAATTTGTTGCCAATTTTGGTTTCCCGCCTGACTGTCCTTGGCTCGACGTCCCGTTGCCTGAGCCCTGGAGGCTGGCTCCGTGCCGTTCACTGTGTTAATCACAGGGCTGTGCACTTCAACTCCACCTGTCACTTGAAAGGATGTTTGCAGAGCCCCGCGCTTTCTTCTACAGGAATCGGCAAGACCTACAGGCAAAAAGCCCACAAGAGGTCATTTCCTCCGTCCTCCTCGGCAACTCAAGGGCGGAAAGTGAGTGAACTCAGTCACACCGCCGGCCATCTTCCCAAGGCACCTGCCTGGATCGTTATTTGCCGTCGACATGACGTTTCTTCCAGAACAACGAGAAAAGGTTCCATCGGTGAATCAAAGGGAGAGATCCGGCGAGTTTCTGGAGAAGAAACGAAAACCTCTGTCCTGGAGCAGGAGACACGGGCAGCATGGATGGGGGGGGCACGAGGGCGAGGCCCCCTCTGCAGGATGCGACTGATGGTCAGAGTCCCGCCCTGCGAAGCCCCGGGGCGTGAGCATCTCTGGCAAATGCCCGTCGAGGATTTCTCCTAAGCTTCTTGGTCCCAGCGACTAGAACAGGGGTTAGCAAGCAATTCCTGTTAAATCCATGTTAAGGGCGGAGAGTAGATACCTTAGACTTGCTGGGCCACAAGGCCTCTGTTGCAGCCACCGCCCCATCATAGTGTAGTAGCCGCAGGCAGTGGGTCGACAAACGAGTGAGGGCCTGTTCCAGTAAAACTTGATTTGGAAAACACAGGTGGTGGTCCTCATTGGCCTGCCCCTGGACTAGGGATTGGAGTTACCACTGGCTGAACCATCAGGCCGCGAGAGGAGCAGGTCTGGGGCCTGGTGGGAGCCGCCTTTCCCACCCCCCAAGAAGCAGCAGAAACCCAGACCAAAGGCTCCGACCTCAGATGAGAGCTCAATATGGCCAAAAACTAGAACGGCTGATGCGAAATCCGAGCAAGGGACAGATTCAGTGGTGTGTAAGGAGACTTAAAATGTTTTTACCCCATTAACTTATTAATTCATGTGAATATCAGAGAATCGTGGCTCGGGGGTTAGGTTTTGTTTTATTTCTTCGTGATGTCTCGTGAAGTGTTAACAAGTCACACACAGGTCTGAGATCGAGAGCCCTTGCCAACGTGTGATAGCCTCTCCGGACAAGCGAGGGCACGCTGCTGCTGGTCAGCGGCTGGCCCGGCCCGGCCCCTGCTCATCTCTGGGAAGAATGTGTTACCTCACAAAGGCACCGATCGGCTGTGAGTTTGCCCCTATCCGCGAGCCAAGCGTTGCAGATTAGGTTGTTCAGGGGTGACGATGGGAAGGCTGCGCGTGTTGGTGGGTTACGTAAGAAGGTGCTTTTGTTTCACGGCTTCATAAATGGTGTTTGACAGACACACACGCAGAAGAGAGTGAAACCCATCTTCATACCTGAAGCTCCTCCTTTGAATGCGAAGCTGGGCATTTACCCGGCATGAGACCGTGGCCCCCGCGGCCGTCCACTGCGCCCCGTCCAGGCCATTCCCCGCCGGGCCCACCCTCTGTGCCTGCCAGCTCGTGGGACAGACGCTTTAGGCAACAGGGAGGACTCGGAATAAATTCTTCTCTTTCCGAAGTTAAAAGTGACGTGGGGTGTGTGAGTGTGTGTTTGCTTAACCTTAGCAAACGTGGTTGGGGCACCTGTGTGCCAGGACCAGCCCCCTCAGGCCCTGGTTTCCAAGCTCGGTGCTTCGCTGGCGAGGAGTCGGCTTCTTGGTGCCCGTAGCCCGTAGCACAGGCCCACGGCCTGTCTGTGTCACCCCGATCCGCCCACCCCCCGGCCCCTGCCCGAGTCCACCCATCAGAGGATTCCATCAGCCGTCGTGAATGAACTGCAGTGCAGTGTGGTGCTTCACGGTTGTCTCCAGGAGCAGAGACTCTCTCAAAAGAAGGGAATTTGTTAGGGGTGCCTGGGTAGCTCAGTCGGTTAAGCGTCCGACTTCAGCCAGGTCACGATCTCGCGGTCCGTGAGTTCGAGCCCCGCGTCGGGCTCTGGGCTGATGACTCAGAGCCTGGAGCCTGTTTCCGATTCTGTGTCTCCCTCTCTCTCTGCCCCTCCCCCGTTCATGCTCTGTCTCTTTCTGTCTCAAAAATTAAAAAAAAATTAAAAAAAAAAAAAAAAAGGGAATTTGTTAAAAACGGCAGAAGAGGCTAAAGCCTGCCAGGGAGTTCAAGCCAGGAAAGATGGTCGCGGGAACCCGGCAGACGTGCGGCCACGCGTGTGACCGGCTTTCTGAGCACAGTCATCTTCGTGCCCTTTCAACAGCCCAACGTGGGGAAAACATCACCAAACCAGCTGACGATTGCCATTAGTTTCAGCTACTTAGAGCTTGAAGAACGAAGATTGACCGCGGGAAAATCTTTAAAACTCCCAAAAACCCAAGAATCGCAGGCTGCCCCTAGCGGCCAACATGCGACACGTAATGCCAGGCGGAGTTAGTCTCTCTGTGGCTGTCCGGGGGAGGTGTGTGGATGCCCCCCGCTCCCCCCTCAGCCTGGGTCACTGCACCAGACGGGGCGCCACCCTGTTCGGCACATGACCCGGCAAGGGCTGGGATCCCCTCCGGTCCCTGCAAGCAAGGGGAGGGCCTTGCCCGTGGAGGGGTCTTGTCACCCTTGCCAGAGCGGGACCCCATGGTTCCCCCAGCCTGGGAACGGACCCAAGCAGGGGGCCCGGAGCTTGGGCAGAGCCTGGTGCCCGATGTGACCCACTGGTTGGGCCACCTCTTGTCTAGCTCCCCATCATCTTTCGGGACGTCAGGGAAGGTGCAACGTGCCCCAGTGCTGAGCTGGGTCCCCTGCGGTGAGGCGCGGGCTCCAGGGGCGCCGAGGCCCTCGGCGTGACGGTCGCTGTCCTTGCAGAGAGCGTACTGTGGCCGGTGCAGCGAGAGGATATGGGGCCTCGCGGGGCAGGGCTACAGATGCATCAACTGCAAGCTGCTGGTCCATAAACGCTGCCACGTGCTCGTCCCACTGACCTGCAAAAGGCATATGGTGAGTGTGGGCCGGATTGGGCCCCGGGGGCCCGCGGGTGGGGGCAGCCTCGAGCCCACTGCCCACACTGACCCTGGCGGCCCTCAGTCCCCCTCTGTCCAAAGAGGGTCCTGCCGCCAGCGAGGCAAGAGGAGGGGCTGGGACGGGGCCCCTCTTCCGAGCCCCGTGAGCCCCTAGCACTCGTGGGGCAGCATCTGGCACGGAGGTGGGGGGCCAGGGAAGGCTTGTGTGGACCCCAGGCACGAAGCAGCTCTCGAGCAGAGCAGAGGGGAAAGCGCCATGACGCTCCGCACGCCAGGACCTGTGCCGTGTGACCCTCACCACCAGCCCGCGATCCTGGAGTCGGAGCTCCCAGCCCTTTGAGATGCTGTTCGTTCCCTTACTGAGCATCCAGGCTCGCTTGTGCTCCTGGGCCTCTGGCCGTCACCCCTGATGGGACAAGAACAGAGTCCAGACCTTGTCGCACCCCGATGTTGCTGAGCCCTGGGATGTGGGGTCCCGTAGGTCCGCGTCGGCCTAAGAAACGAGGCCAGCCCCACAGATGTAGTCAGTCGGGGGCCAAACGATGCCAATGCCTGGAGCCTGGTGTCCGCCAATAGGGGGCTGTGGCAGGGGTGACCTCAGCCTCCTGGGACTCTGATGCAGCCGTGGGGGCAAGGGAGACTACCAAGCATTATGAACAGACGCCCTGCTTTTTAAAGCACCTGCTGGAAAGGTCACAGTGCGAGGTGCTGCGTGGTCACCCTGCCTGTGGAATCAGGAGATTTCTATGTGGGTCTTTCCACCTCCAGGGCAACAATGTTACCAGGTACACTTGTGTAACATGTATTGTCAGACACGCTACAATGTGTATGCCAGAAGAGGTGATTCTAGAAAGTCACAGGGTATCTCCAGAAGCTACACTGTGACACCTGACTGGTCACTTTGTAATGCTCATGTCTTTGCAGGATTCTGTCATGCCTTCCCAAGAACCTGCAGTAGACGACAAGGACAACGTGGACCTTCCTTCTGAGAACACCGATGGAAGTAGGGGCTTTCTTCCCACTCGTGGAGCCCGGGCTCTCCGCCCCGGAATCCCTGCTTGCCCGCCATTCTGACCACACCTCACTGCGGGGCTGGGGATGTCCCCAGGGCCTTCCCTCATCCTGGGCAAAGATGGCAGGGTGGGGTGGCTTTCTGTGGGCACGCACATCTCTGGGAGTGGCTGCCATAGGAGTCGGGGTGGGCGTTTTCCCTCGGCACCGACCGTGGGAGTTCTAGAAGTTGTTTACGGTGGCACCCACCCTGGGCAGGCTGCTGCGTCGAGCTGGTCTCCATCCGTGGAAAGGCCTGCTGTCAAGGTGGTTCTTGAGTTTCTGTGGGGTTTCGTGGGGGTTTGGGTGGGGGAGAGACTTTTGTTTAATAGTAAGAAGCATTCGGAGAATGATTTTGAATACTAGTTGGACTGATAGCTTAGCTCTGAGCTCCCAAAGTCTGTGGATTATTATGAGAGCTTGGAAGAGTCCCTGCCCTCGAGTGGTGAATGTGAGCTCTGCACCCTGAGAGTCCTTGAAGGATGAAATGAGACCACAGAAGATAAAGCATTTAGCAAAACAGCTCACACAAAGCAGACAACAACCCACATACTCACCCACCCACCTACCCATCCAACCATCCATCCACTTATCTGTCCAT